ATAACTACAGTCCATAACTACAGTCCATAACTACAGTCCATAACTACAGCCCATAACTACAATCCATGACTACAGCCCATAACTACAGCCCATAACTACAGTCCATAACTACAGTCCATAACTACAGCCCATAACTACAGTCCATAACTACAGCCCATAACTCCAGTTCATAACTACAGCCGATAACTCCAGTTCATAACTACAGCCCATAACTCCAGTTCATAACTACAGCCCATAACTACAGTTCATAACTACAGTCCATAACTACAGCCCATAACTCCATTCCATAACTACAGCCCATAACTCCAGTCCATAACTACAGCCCATAACTACAGTTCATAACTACAGTCCATAACTACAGCCCATAACTCCAGTCCATAACTACAGCCCATAACTCCAGTCCATAACTACAGCCCATAACTCCAGTTCATAACTACAGCCAATAACTCCAGTCCATAACCACAGCCCATACACTACATCCATAAAGAAAGCAAACGATGACACGGTACACTAACATAGACTACATTTGAAGTTACCAAGGATAACTACATAAGAATGATCTGTTCGACTTACAAGAAACTGTCATTGTGAAATACAAGTTTTAAACCGTGCGTGGGGCAGAGGAAGGGGGGGGGGGGGGGTTAGACCCAGTGCCACCAACAAACATGTCGTAAAAGGCGACTTTTTAAGGGTTGGCTGACATAAGATGTGGTGGGCGGAAAGGCGCAGCAATCGAAGTAATCGCAGCCAAGCAATAAATCACATTACAGTGTGTTTCTTTTAAGGCGAAGTGGAAAGATGCGGAGGAGGAGGAAGAGGAAAGAAAGAAAGAAAGAAAGAAAGAAAGAAAGAAAGAAAGAAAGAAAGAAAGAAAGAAAGAAAGAAAGAAAGAAAGAAAGAAAGAAAAAGAAAGAAAGAAAGAAAGAAAGAAAGAAAGAAAGAAAGAAAGAAAGAAAGAAAGAAAGAAAGAAAGAAAGAAAGAAAGAAAGAAAGAAAGAAAGAAAGAAAGAAAGAAAGAAAGAAAGAAAGAAAGAAAGAAAGAAAGAAAGGAAAGAAAGAAAGAAAGAAAGAAAGAAAGAAAAAGAAAGAAAGAAAGAAAGAAAGAAAGAAAGAAAGAAAGAAAGAAAGAAAGAAAGAAAAGAAAGAGAGAGGGAAAGAAAGAAAGAAAGTAAGAAAGAAAGTAAGAAAAAAAGAAAGTAAAAAAGAAAGAAAGAAAGAAAGAAAGAAAGAAAGAAAGAAAGAAAAACGAAAGAAAGAAAGAAAGAAAAGAAAGAAAGAAAAGAAAGAAAGAAAGAAAGAAAGAAAGAAAGAAAGAAAGAAAGAAAGAAAGAAAAAGAAAGAAAGAAAGAAAGAAAGAAAAGAAAGAAAGAAAGAAAGAAAGAAAGAAAGAAAGAAAAAAAAGAAAAGAAAGAAAGAAAGAAAGAAAGAAAGAAGAAAGAAAGAAAGAAGGAAAGAAAAAAGAAAAAATGAAAGAAAGAAAGAAAGAAAGAAAGAAAGAAAAGAAAGAAAGAAAGAAAGAAAGAAAAAAGAAAGAGAAAGAAAGAAAGAAAGAAAGAAAGAAAGAAAGAAAGAAAGAAAGAAAGAAAAAAAGAAAGAAAGAAAGAAAGAAAGAAAGAAAGAAAGAAAGAAAGAAAGAAAGAAAGAAAGAAAGAAAGAAAGAAAGGACATGATCAACGAAAAGGGCCCTACCTTGCTCTACTTAGGGCCCTAGAGATCAAGGTCTTCCTCCTGGGCTGTTGGATGTTCTGGATTTGCCGGATCAAGTCTTCGATCTCCGCAGGCGTCCGTGCCTGAAGAGGGATGTCTTGGATGACCTCACTACAATGTATGAAGACATGCAAGAGTTACATCTCAGAGTATACTAATATAGATTATAATCATATAACACATGTGTGTAATCGTAATCACGATGATCTCATCATCATCATTACCATCATCATCATCATCCTCACCATCAACATCATCACCATCTTAATCATCATCGTTAATATCATAATCATCACCATCGCTACCATCATCATCATCACCATGATGACCATCATCACCATCACCATTATCACTACCATCATCATCAACATCATCATCAACATCATCATCATCTTCATCATCGTCTCCATTATATTCCTAATAATAATTATTGATTATGTTTTCCTTTTTTTCCCATTATTTTGTTAGTTTGGGATGCTTCAGCTGGATGTAAAATATTGATTTAAAAAAACAGTTGGTCAGAATTAAGGTGATATAGAATATAATAAGTGTTATTATGATGATATCGATGATAATGCTAATTTTGATGACAGTAATAACCAATAGATAATAATAATGATAACGATGATGACGATGATAATTACAATGATGATGATGATGATGATAATGATGATGATGAGGATAATTATAATGATAACAATAATGATGAGGAGGATAATGACAATGATAATGACAATGATAATGGCAATGATAATGACAATGATAATGACAATGATAATGATAATTACAATGATAATGACATTGATGATGATCATGATGTTTATGACAATGATGAAAATAATGATGATAAAGATAATGTTGATAATGAAGGTAATGATGATAATGATGAGAATGAGAATAAATGGGATGATGATAACGATGCTGATGATAATGATAGTAATACTGATGATAATGATGACAACGATAGTAATAATGATAATGAAGATGATAATGATGGTGATAATGATAATGATGATAATGCTAATGATGATGATAATGATGGTAATAATGATAATAACGATGATAATGATTGTATTAATGAAAATGATGATAGCGATGGTAAAAATGATGATAATGATGGTAATAATGATAATGGTGATGATAATGCTGGTAATGGTGATGATGATGATGACGATAATGATTTTAACTATGATAATGATGCTAATGTTAACGTTAATAAAAAAATGATGATGATGATATTGATGATAATAATGTGATAATAAAATTATAGTGAGTCTGATGGTTCTAATGATGGCTGCTAGCCGCTCAATAATTTAAGTTGTCCTTTTTTAAAGCTAATTAAAAAATCTTCCTCTTCTTCTTTGTTCACAGGCTGTAAGCTCGTGGGAAAGTCCTGGCTGTTCGTCCATTTGGACTATGGCTATGTACCAGGACCTGAGTTTTACGTGTAAATCTGTTTTACTGGTTTATTTGTGTGCCGTTGTTTGTTCCTTGTCGCTTGGTCATTATAAAATATAAGGAATAAAACAAATGGTATTTTTAAAAAAAAATGAGAATAGAACGAATGTTAATAGAAAAAATGTTAATATAACCATGCTAGTATTTTATTTTAAAAGCAAATACCTATAAAGAACCACTCCGATGTGTGTATTGGCCAACGTTTGAGTCACGGTTCGAATCTCTCTGTAAAGAGACTCTAGTGCCAGTCGGTAGCCGGTTGGGGACACGCTATCCGACCCATCCACCACAAAGACCACATTTGGTGGGCACTGGGTTACTAGAGAAGATAAGAAGCACCGTTTTAATACAATTATAGTAGAATCTCGATTATCCGGTACACGGGTATCCGTACCCCGTGTTATCCGACGCAGCTTTTAAAAAAATGAACAAACGAACGAACGAACTTTATTTTCAGAGGGTCACAAATTGGGCACGCAGGCCTGTTTTACACTCGGCCCTTCCAAACACCCGTCTTTCACACGGCAGCTGTATTCTATCGATAAAGCATGTTATATCCATATAATAATATGCATATTGTGAACATCCAAAAACACACACAAAAGCATAGGTGGCAAAATGTACGCACACACTCGCGCACACGTACCCCCACATACATGCACCCACTTGCTAACTTAAACACGCATATATACACACCTACATACAGCCATTTACATACATACACACAAACCCATACACATACATAATAAACACACACGTACAACACACATACATACAGATACACATAGAAACACCCACACAAACAGGAGGAGCAGATACGCATATCCACAAACACACACACACGCACACAGACACACAAACACACAGACATACACACAAACATCACACATACACAGAGAATAAAGAGGGACGAGGGTAAAATACATTAGGAAGACATATATCTGGATCTTTTTCGAAACCTAAAAACTTAGTTACGACTCTTTTATCTCAGACCTTTCCTCATATATGTAATCATTGTAAAAGATCCCTTTTCACACCTTAAGGCCCGTCTGGCATATGGGAAGTGACCCAAATTTTTTATAGACCAATCGGCATTAGGCGGGTAATGTGGTCAGTATTACGACGGCCGTCTTTACTTCCCCAGGACTTACAGCCTGGTACCTATGTTAGGCTAGGTCGACCTGCAACGTCCAATTCGATGATAAAAATCCACGCAGCCAGCAGTGGGTTTCGATCGCGGTACGTTGGAATTACGAGTCGGACTTGCAAAGCCTAAGCCACGGACGCCGTTCATCATTGTGAGTGACTATTCATATTAAACTGTGTAAAAGAAAACAAAAGGACCCTTTACCCAGCCTCAGACTATTGGGCATATAGGGCTAGACCTTAATTTGTAAGACCAATCAACTGCTGCTTTTTCACATAAAATAGTGCTGGTTTGTGTGTGTGTGTGTGTGTATGTTTATCACTGAAGGGACTGGTTTGCGATGAAATTGGAACCCCCGACAAATAGAATGAAAACGTGATTAATCAAGAGTTTACTAAAAATGTGACGAACTCCTTAGCTCAAGAAATGACCCCCAGAGTTCACAGTAAACATTGCACTGTTGAATTGAACGACACGCCGGGAATCGAACCCACCACCTTCAAATTTAAGAACAACACTTACCTAAATCCCCTTTAGACGTCTGACCATCTCCTTTCCCTTGGTTATCCGTCTTACATCCGTTTAGAATAAAATCATTTAGAGTGCAAGAAGGTGGCACACTCCAAGACTGAATTCCCTTAGCCAAGCATAGAAAGCACACAACGAGAATGTACTGTCGAGTCTTCATTGCTGTAAATAATAAAGGACTGTCAGTCAATAAATAAATCAGTAATTTCATGAAATGTATATTTTCATAAGCTTTATCACGAAAAAACTCGTCTGCTCTTGCTTCTTTGTGCAGGGCTGTGTGAGTGTTCGAGGCAATGAATGTGCAGATCATCTCGCGGGCAAGGCGGTTACTACGACTGGCCCGGTCCTGAACAGGGGTGACGTCATTAATGCTATGCCAGCTGCAGATCACGGCAATAAACAGGACTCGGTATCCTTGTCCAGGTTGGTAGATATAGGGGTACAACCTGGAGGAGTCTGGTGGGATGAATTTCAGTTTGGTCGGAAGACGTCTGATAATCAACACAGAACTGGAAGGATGTGGTTAGTCAATTTACTCTTTTAGAGTTACCTATGTGGCGATCGGAGCACACCATGGACCTATCCGGAGTGTTGTGATGATAGTAAAAGTAAAAAGTAAAGATCTATTTTCACGCCTTTAGGTGCATCGGGCATATGGGAAGAGCACCCATATGTTTACAGACCAATCGGCACTATGTGGGTAATGCGGCCAACTTTATGCTGACCTTGTTTATTTCCCCAGTACATCCATCCTGGTATCCATTTTAGGCTGGGTTGACCTGCGGAGCCCCATACCACGATAACAATTCACGCAGCCAGCAGTGGGTTTCGATCGTGGTACGCTGGAATTACGAGTCAGACCCGCAACGCCTAAGCCACGGACGCACAAAAAGCGATAGGTACAACAAAATGTTGACAAGTGCATATGAAGATACTTGTATCACACACACACACAAAAAATAAATAAATAAAATGTACACTAAATTAAATTCTTCTACTTCTTCTTTCGTTCGCTTGAAATAAATTATCTTTATCTGCAATGTTGTCTCTAGTACAAACTTTATTGTATTTTGTAATTCATTCAGCGACACGTAAAGTTTGACTTGCATCGGTGTTTCTCTTGGCCAAAAGTTTTGCCTTGATATGTTGAATTTGGGACAGTCTTGGAGGACATGTTCTGTTGTCTCAGGTGCCAATCCACATGTGCACATGTCTGTTTCGCCGATTTTAAATTGTGTATACCCGTGGCTGCGAAGTCAATTGTCTCCTGTTCTTATGAGTTTTGAATTAATCAATTAAATAGCTATCTTATGGCAGATGAAGGTAATCTAACAAACATAAAAGGTACGTTACTTGTTATAGGCAAGTATCCAATCGGTAACAAATAAATGAACCAGTCACTGAATCACTTAATAAAGTTTTAATAGTCTTCAAAACGAAGCTGATGCACGGAGGCTCCAGTACGTTTTGGTCGATATGCTGATGGTTCGTTCTCTTGCAGACAGTTGTTTGTTCAAGTCCCTTTTGTTATATCCCCAGTTGCACAGAAAGGTACCCTATTTTTAATAGGGCCGTCTTATGTCAATATAGGCACGCATTATTTGATCTACTGCTTGGATTATAGATGGTGGGAACGAGAGGAAGATGGAGAGAGAAAGAGAGAGACACACACACACTGAGAGATTCAAAAAGAAAACGAGACATACATACACATAGAGAGAGAGAAGGAGAGAGAGAGACATATAGACGGAGGGAGACAGAGAGAGAGACAAAGAGAGACAGACGCAGAGACAAGAGAGACAGGGAGAGACAGAGAGATAGACCGACGGAGAGAGAGGCAGAGAGAAAAAGAGAGAGAGAGACTAAGAGAGAAGTAGAAAGAGACAATGTGAGACAGACAGAGAAAGACAGAGCGACACGGAAACAGAGACAAATACAGAGGTAGAGAGACAAAGAGAGACTCTAAAAGAGAAATATATAGATAGATAGAGAGAGAGAGAGAGAGAGAGAGAGGGAGAGAGAGCGAGATAATGAGAGAGAAACTAAGAGAAAGACAGAGAGAAATAGACAACCGAAAAAAAAGAAGAAAAAGACATTCTTAAACTTTAAATTAGTCCCACCGAGACCTACCCCAGCCTATGTCTAGAAAATGTGTAAAGTTGGGGGAAAAAGGGGGGGGGGGGCGGAGGAGAATGAAAAAAAAAGGTCGGGGGTGGTGAGGGTGCTGGCTAAAGCCCGGCAAATTGTGTGTGTGATGTGTGTGTGTGTGTGTGTGTGTGTGTGTGTGTGTGTGTGTGTGTGTGTGTGCGGGGCTGGTTGGTTTAGATTTCCTATGAAATGTAGTTCCTGACAACATCTCTGTATCATGTTCTATTTTCGACTTGAACTTTTTTTGCCGTGCCTTTAGACAACACACCGATGTTTAACTTGAGATATGCCACCTGTCCGACACAAGTGTATTTAATTTTTTGTCAGCTGTCACACTATACTGAAACACCTGAAGGGATTATTTTATCAAACAATTGAATCATCTCCTTTCAACTACAGTGCTTTGATGTTGACTGGGTTTGTGATCTGCCAAAAACGCGTCATGGGGATTTTTCGTACAGTTTATCAAACAGCAAAATTTTCCCCATGCCTGCATTCAAAGTCTTCTCCTTCTTCTTTCGTTCGCTTGAAGTAGATTATCTATATCTGTAATGTTGTCTCTAGTACGAACGTCACTGTCTTTTGTAATTCACTCAGCGACCCGTAAAGTTTGACTTGCACGGGTGTTTCTCTTGGCCACAAGTTTTGCCTTGATATGCTGAATTGAAGACAGTCTTGGAGAAGATGATTTTATTAAGTGATTCCATGAGTATGCTTACGAATATAGAGACAGGATGAATTCCAAGAAAATTGTTGGACTCGCTCAGGAAATCTCGTCTAAAAGGAATTAGATTCATTTCTGTGCCAGGACACTGTGGGGTAAGAGGGAAGAACGACCGGACTGGCTTGCTGGCAGGGCCACGGTAGGTGTAGAAACATAAATTGACAGGGCCGACATTCTCATTGCTCTGAGAAGATGATTCAGGTGAAGACGCTGAATCGACAACACTAAAAAGACTGCAAGATCTTCAGGTGAAAATAGGTGCTGCCAAACATGAATACTATACAGGTGGCCAAAGATGAATAGTAAACCAACACAGAACTGGTGTTATCAGTCGTCACACGCTGGGGAATCTACTGAAGATGGGATCCGAGCGCTTATGGACTTTTCCGATGCGCAATGAGGATAATCTTTCAATAAACTAACAAAATGATCAGCAACTTCTTTATAAAACATTCATCTCATCATAGCAGGCCTGAAAGTCTCTCTCTTTCTCTAGTCAATCTCTATCACTGTGCGCTGTCATAGCAGGCCTGAAAGTCTCTCTCTTTCTCTAGTCAATCTCTATCACTGTGCGCTATTATAGCCGATGTATCTTCCGTGTATCGTCTTGCAAAAAATGAACCATTATCATGGATCTAGTCAAGCCACCAACACGATTAACGTGGCCAACATTCACATCAATAAGCTGCACCAGTAAAGATGCATGCACTAGTAAAGATGTATGCACCAGTAAAGATGTATGCACCAGTAAAGATGTATGCATCAGTAAAGATGTATGCACCAGTAAAGATGTATGCACCAGTAAAGATGTATGCATCAGTAAAGATGTATGCATCAGTAAAGATGTATGCACCAGTAAAGATGTATGCATCAGTAAAGATGTATGCACCAGTAAAGATGTATGCATCAGTAAAGATGTGTGCACCAGTAAAGATGTATGCATCAGTAAAGATGTATGCACCAGTAAAGATGTATGCACCAGTAAAGATGTATGCATCAGTAAAAATGTATGCACCAGTAAAGATGTATGCACCAGTAAAGATGAATGCACCAGTAAAGATGTATGCACCAGTAAAGATGTATGCACCAGTAAAGATGTATGCACCAGTAAAGATGTATGCACCAGTGAAGATGTTTAATTTAACTCGCTTGCAGCTTCTGTGTCACAGGTTCTTTATCTTGTTTGACCTCTGTATTTCTAAAACACGTCTTCGCTACAGTTATTCAGTCAAGGAACGACATCACACCACTCTGTGAATTTCTGTAAGCACTGTATACCCCATCTTCATTTTCGATTACTGACTTACAGTTCCTCAGTGCGTTTCAAAAGTAGTGCATCTCACATTTTAACAAACATCTTGAAAGCTTCTGTACGGACCAACACGACATTTTTCATGAAGCTTTAGATTTGCCATGTCATTTTATAATTCACAATTGTATGGGTGCTGCAGTTTTCTTAAAGCGTCGATTTTATTGGATCTTTGTTTGATTAGCAATTTGTGTTTTCCTAAAAATTGAAAAAAAAAAAAAAAAAAAAAAAAACAGTAATTTACACATATGTGGAAATTGTGTGGTAATCAATTCACATGTGCAGCGATACGTTGTGATTATTTTGATAGTTTATCCCGCATACAGTGGAAATTTGTTGTTCATCTTATTTATGGGAGGTTAACGTTGAAGATGAACACCTTAGAGTCAAACGCTTATGAATTGCGTGCAATAAGTTTTTTGAAAAGTACCTGTTATTCATTCAATTTACTGTGAGCACGCTGATTGTTGTCTGTTTTTTTTCCATATACAGCAAAAAAAAAAAAATAAATAAATAAATAAAACATCAGGTATTTATTTACATTAAAATAATTAGTAAAACTAAGGTGAGTCTCTCCCACCCCTCCCCAATTTACACAGTGCTACACACTAGCTCACTTCTTATTGGTCGACCTTTAGCCTATCTCACTTCTGATTGGTCGACCTTGACCACCGTCCTTGGCACAAGGTTACGGAGGTGTTCCGCAATGCCGTTGATATTACGTGTTCTATATTCCAACATGCCAGCGCTTTTAACACTCCAAAATATTGACAACCTTGGTCTAACACAAAACCGTTTTAAAGAGTGATGAAACTCATGTCACATGCATTCTCTTTCTCAGAATAAAAATGTAAATGCAAGACATCATAGAAAGCAAACAACAGAGCGGCACACCCGTAACCTACATCAAGGTAGACCAGTCCAAGAAAGTTATTAATGTAACGTGACCTAATTTGTTTGGGGAGACTAACGCTTG